CGGTCACGGACGTGCAGGTGTACGCTTCGATGAGCTCCGTGCCGGACGTGTAGCCGCTTCCGCTGAGGGTGAGGGTGTAGCTGCTTCCGGAGGAGCCTTTGTTGGAGAGGACTGTTATGATCTGGCTGCCGGAGGTGCCTTTGCGCATAGCGATGGTGTTGCTGTCTGTGTAGATTGGGTCGTTCTATTATTGATGTATATTTCGTTAGAATGTGGGTTGAGTTCTGGGTGGGGGGGAGGGACAAGGACGAACCGCGTAAGTAATGTAATCCGAGTCCGCTGAGATGGCTAGTTTGCGGATCGCGTTTGTAGTGGCTATCCAGGTGTAGAGCTCCGCGGAGGTGTCGTAACCTGATAGCCAGGTCGCTTCGCGGTTGTAGGGCACGTCGCCGCCGGAGTAGTGCTGCTCTTCGCCGGCGTAGACGATGGGGATGCCGTCGGAGAGGAAGATGTAGCTGAGGACATTTTTCGCTTGGGAGTAGTCGGATGTGTAGCTTGGCTTGTTAGTGGGGGTCACTGTGAAAGGGGGCAGTGAGGGAAGGGACATACGAGGCGAAACGGGGGTTGTCGTGGTTTTCGATAAAGTTGCCGAGGAGGGTCGGATCGGAGCAGTCGCTGGCGACGGATTTGATCATGTTGTAGAGGTCGCTGATGCTGCCGCTGGAGGATTCGAAGGCGTAGAGGAGTTGCCAGTAGCTGCAGCAATTGAGTTGGTGATGGTTAGAAGAAAAGGTGGAAGGGGGGGGGGATGTACATGGGGTAGTTGAGAACGCCATCTAGATAGTCTTGGTATGGGCAGTCCAGAGCAGGGTTGCCGTTGTCGACTTCACCGACGCAGTAGACTCCTGCTGCTTCTTGGTAGCCCGGGAAGAAGTCTGGTTCGACTTCGAGGACACTGTCAATGCGGAGGCCGTCGACTGCGGTTTCATTTAGTATGTGGCTTGTTTTAGTGGGTTGGGGTCGCACCTGAGTAGTTGGATACCAGGTCGGCTACCCAGTCATACCAGATTGTTCTCACTGCAGTTTCGGTGGTGTTCAAGTCTGGTAGAGACACGATGGTGTCACCCTCCCAACAGTCTTGGACCATGGTCAAGTTGTCCCAATCTGTGATGAGGCAGTATGGATGGAAGTAGGAGGAGGAGTCGAAGGGGTCGAAGACGCTGTAATCCACATCGTTGCCGTTGCCTGCGTAGCCCTGGTACAGTCATCGTTATTATTGGTTCACTGATGTAGAGGTGAAACAGAACTTACCATGTGGTTCGGGACGACGTCGACCATGAGGTACATTCCGCGGGCGTGAAGAGCATCAGAGAGGGACTTCAGGTCATCTGCAGTGCCGAAGTTGGAGTTCACGTCGTATCTGCCAAGTCAGCTGCACTCTGCAAGCAAGCATACAATTGGAAGAGATTGAGCACATACATCTTCTGCTGCCAGTATCCATGGTAGGCTTCACCATCCGAAGTATCCTGGGGCAGCTGCTCAGTGATAGGCGAGATCCAGATAGCTGTGAATCCCATGCCCTGGATATAGTCCAGCTGCAGCAACAGTCAGAGCGCGCACAGCATGAATAGACCAAAGTGTAAAACAAACGTGGTTGATGATTCCTTGCCAACTTCCGCCACAATAGATCTATCCAGGTCAGTATATGAATCAGGATTAGAAAGAACTGCAATACCATACTTGGTCACCCGTATCGCACGTAGCTGTAGTCGAGTTGTCCGTCCTACCGAACCGATCCGTCAAAAGAAAGTAGATAGATTGAGTGCGCCATTCTGCAGCTGACAGCCCAAGGGCCAGCTTCCCGAAAAGGGACATAGAAAGGGCAAGGCTTGGAGTCGACACTCTCATAGCTGTGTATTATTGTCTGACAAAGCGACAGAAAGTGTCCCAAGCACAGCCTGTCTATCCGAGAAATCGGTGTTAACCATTCTTAAATATTCCCTTCAGCATGACCCCAGAACGCTGAGCACCTTGCAAGGCAGATCAATCCACTCACTACCCTTCTGATCACATCTGATGCTTGATGGATGCCAAGTGAAGCCGGCATTTAATCCATCAGCCAGGAACGGGCGTATACGCAGTCTCTCATTGGTCAGAACTCCGATCCGTTCGGGGGCCAGGATTTAACCCTGGTCCCCTTAATTGTTGCAGAACAACAAATCTCCGACACGGACTACTCACTGTTAGCTAAAACGCCCCTTAATGGGAGAAGAATCCAGGCCAAACCCTGTTCTGACTCGTGGAGGAGGCGACGGATTTCTCGGGGCGTGAATATGCCGGGTGAACAGGGTAAGCTGCAGGTTACCCGTTAGGGCGCCTCGCTTGGCGAAGCGAGATGAATTCCTGCAGACTACCCGGGTCGACGCCATAGGACCCTATGGGTGCGGAGAAGATAGATTAAACTTGTATGTACGAAAAGTCAAAGTCCGTCCCATGTTGCACTCGAGCTGCAAGGTGATGGAGCGTTCAGCGGGATATCCTGGCCGGTGGCTTAAGCGGACAGTATTAATTACCGCATGCCCAGGCCGAGAAACTATTCTAACCGACAGCTCGCATAATTGTGAATATCACATGCATTTATTTCAAATTTCAAAAAGCCGTTCGCTGATTCCAGTCACCCATCCGACCGGAGTAGGGCCTCAGCGCATCCCATACTGCTTGCGAGACTGCGGGAGAGATACGCACGGCTTGGCTGAAGCGCTGACACATGCGCGATTCATAGTTCAGATATTAGTCAAAAGAAAGGTTATATTGCAGAAATAGTTGTCTATAATTCTTCTTCTATCGAATGCCAGCCTCGATGAAGCAAATTGCAGCTCTCGGATACTCCCTGCCGTGGTCATTACAACTGGTGTTTTCGGACCGTCCATGCAAGGATCGATCCTAGAAGCGAAAGGACGAGGGAAAATACTGGCAAAATGTCAATAAAGAGGTATGGGTAGTATACCACATTGGACAACTTACGATAAGTGTAGCGGAGACCAGCCACATATCCTTTTACCACCACATCTCGGACATGACCCTGCAAGCCATTGATATAGCTCGTATCGGACAGCGCGCGCTCGATGATCTTCGAAACCCGTCAGTAAATAACTGCAGAAAGAAGCGGAGATACACACCTTCTTGGTCCCAGGGCCAGTCAGATGCTGTTCCATCTGGCGCTTGAAAACAGTCCCCAGCAGACTGTTGGTGACAGTCACACCAGCCGTCATGGCGAAGCTGAAGAGTAGGAAATACCCTCCTGTCGCCATGGCCACTTCCTGCGGCATCAAAAACGCCGTCATACTGACGAAAGCAGCCGCCGAGCAGAAACCAGTACCCATACCACCGGGAATAATGTACAAAGACTCCCAGAATCCAGTGTGACCGTTCCAGCGGAGGAAAAGAAGTAGATATGCAACAGATGCAACAAGACCGGCAAGAATCAAGAGGACCTTGAACTGGCCGGTGCGACGGATGAAGGCTCCAGCGATCAAGCCTCCAAGCGTGTTCCCGATCACGGCGGGAACTAGATGCCCTCCAGCCACGGTGGCTGAGGCTTTCGATGTCACCTGAAAATATAGCGGCACGGAGAACAGCATTCCAACTTGGGCGGTGATCTGCAGCGATCCGATCAGGTAACTGGGCGTCACGTTCGGCTTCCGCAGCATGCGAAGTTCGAAGATCGGCTCGGGGGCTACATAGAGTTCAACAAGAACGAAGGCGACGAATGCTGACAGACTGAGAGTTGAGAGGATTGCCGTTGACAGTGATGCCCATGCGAAGGACTGCCCTGCTTGGTCCATAATAACTGTGATTGTGATAATACCAGTGGCAAGAAGAAACGTTCCGAGAAAGTCGACACGGCGGATGCTCTTCTCGGTGACTGGATGGGCAAGCTTGAGTTTCCATACCACCAACAAAGCTGCCACAGCGGCAAAGGGCCCCTGGATTATAAATGACCTTATCGCGAGTTAGCGAAAGAAGCGGCTACAGAGGCGCAAAGCATACCATCTCCATCCAATTGTATCGGTTAGCCATCCGCCCACTGGGCCTCCTGCGCTACGACCCAGAGTCATCGCGATGTTGATGTACGCCCGCCAATGGGCAACATCTCGGCGGGGAACAATATCTGCCATGTTCAGTGATGGTTCGTCAAGCTGTTAAGCGTTAGCCTACCTGTGATAATGATCGACCCCATCGCCATTGTTCCCGCACCCCCAATTCCGCTGATTGCACGTCCTAATATAACAGTCGCCATATCTGGGCCAATACCGCTAGAGAAACCACTGTTAGCATGATCCAACCTATCGTCATCTAAGAAGCCTACCTGATAACACATCCCACGCCGAAGAGAAAATACGCCCAAAGTAGCAGTGGCTTGCGACCGTAGATGTCACTCAGCTTACCGTACTACATTTCACCGTCAGTCTATCCCGATCTTCTCAAATATTGTGTGATAGCTGACCATCGGTTGAGCAGCGCACAATCCCAGGGTGTATGCCGTTGATAGCCAACTCGCATCACGCAGTCGATTGAACTCAGAAGAGATTCTGCCTGTTGCCGCCATGACTAGTGTTGCATCCGCGTTGGAGATGAATTCACCTAGGCGATTGTCAGTCTGACTGAGAAGAGAGCCCAACAAGACCGTGAACCCGACATACCCAGCAACAACACGCCAATCACGGTACTTATACTGGTCAAAGCCGTCACATCTTTCGCAGGCGACTCGGGTGGATTGATCAACGGCCGTTCCTCATCGCTTCCATGGCTGCTGTGCACGTCGCTAGTGAGCCCTTTTGTTATGCTGCTGTAGTCTGGGGTGTTTGCGCTAGGAGTCGCATGCTGCGCCGAAGCATTCAGGGGTGTTCTTTCATCGATATTCGCGTCCAGCGGATCTGGACTAGAAGCTGAGACGGCCATTATATCCGGAATCTCTGGCGTGTTCGAGGTGGTGAGTTGAGAACGTCGCAAAGCCGGGAGATGGAACCTTGCGTCGGCAGCATGGAATTTCGGTGAGAGATAGAGTTACGGGCAGCAGGCGCTGATATGTTTTCTTTTCCCGGACTCTGCTTCGGCTGCGGGAAAAGAAATAATTTGTCCACGCAGTCATCCATTCCGATATTTCCGCTTATCTGGGGAATCTGGACCCTCTAGGAGCAAGTTTTAAGCATCAGTATTGGCTGGTGACAGTGTCACTCAGAGACCAAGCGATGACACCATCGGGGGCAGATATACGATCGAGGGCTGCTAAACCGCATGAGGGAAAGCGAGTGCACGGATGGGTCAACCGACTGGGGCCATTATAGGGGAAGAAGCAGAAGCGCAAATGAAGTGGTGGAAGAACCAGAGTTGAGCTCATTGAAGTGGAGCAGCACGCCATGGCTGCTCCCGATGGCGAACCCATGGTGGGTGGGTGGCCTTAGCGCCTGGACCGTCAGGGACACCCGACATTCGGCTGTAAGTCATACAAATTCAACCTTGGAGCATGTCAAAACAAGGTTATAAGTTTAAGTGAGAGGAGCAGTAAGTCATTGTTCGAAAATCCGTGGGACAGTTGGAGGTGCGACCGATGGCGACGTTTTGCTCTGATCACGTGTGCTTTGTCCAGCCAGCAACACAGCTAAATGCTCGTAATGTATTATCCACTGTAGCTTTATACCCTACCTTGTCCATTATTCTCGCTAAATCATGGTCTCTTTGGCTTGTGCTGTTGTATCTGTACCAAAGGAGTTTTGTCAAGTTTAGGCTGGAATGGAATGTCACGTCAATGCATTGCTCGCTGCATACCCCTTCAATATTTATTCTCATCAGCCAGACCGCGCTTATCCGAAATACTTATGCCAAGAACTTCACCTATTGTTATAATGAGAAATGGGCAAATAACAGAATTGGTACAATCTCAAAGCATATCATATACTAGGCTTTATATCAATCTGTACATAATTGATAATTGTTAGACCAACCCGTTTCATTGGCTGGCACAAGCTCTCTAAGTAGATCTGGCCCTAGCCTTCTTCCTTAGTAGAAGAGGATCGACTTAGCAAATCATTCATCATGACAAACTGTTTTATTTTAACCTCCAATAAACTCGTCTGCGACAAAAGAGCTGGACCAGTTTGACATATCTTGCCCAGAACTCAGAAACGAAGAAAGAAGAAGATGACGAAGAAGTTCGATAACGTTTGAGTTATAGTGGATCGTCTACCGAAATCCTGTCTTGGCCAGGTTGTTAATCTCCCCCTCCGTTAATCTCAGGTGGAGAAACTTTATCTCCTCATGAATACTCGTGATATCAGCTATACTTATAAGGAAATCCAGCAATTAGCGGGAGGAGCGCAGTGTTCTATGCTAGCATCCCATGGGACAATTGGAGGTGATATACGGGTCCGTTAAGGATGTGAGGGGTAGATTCAGAATATCACCCATTGAGGCTGATAAGCAGAGACACTGAAATTGAACAGTAATGTCATGATGTTATTCATGAGGCCGGGGATCTTGGAGATCGTGGGAGTCAATGAAGAGAGTTCCTAGGTCTATTCGGTAGCAGGATTCACGTGCTGTTCGTTGTAGCAATCCAGACAAAGATAGCGCGGAGTCACTCCTCTCACAGCCTCGCCAGGATCCTTCTATGTATTTGTGTCTATGTCAACTTGTGCCCAAGCTGGGTCTACTCTGGTTGACCCCGGTGATTTTGTTAGTACGGTGGAGAGTTGCAGGGATTTGAATCCTTGAAGCGGTAAGTCTCCCATACGGCACCGCCTTCTTAAATCGCCATGGTGAAGCCTTGAATAGCAACGCTGAATGGCTATTAATAATCATATGAACAGCAGAAAACAAAGGATTCAGATCCCTGCACCTTCCCACTGTACTAACATAATTACCGGGGTCAATCGTAGTAGATGCTCCTTGATCTCTGGAGCTTAACAGATGGATCCTGGGTTTAGTCTTTGAGCAGGGAATTGACCCACCCAATACCCGCCAGCTTGTCATATTGGGTGCTGACGCGGTATCTATTAGTAGGCAGTGTTATAGCCAATTCCCGCTGACACGGGAAGATAGGCTAGCATAACAGTGACTTCATGGGGGTGTCATCTGCTTGGGATTTAATGAAGCAGCTTTGCAGCATCTTGGAATGACTGGTGAACGACAATAGACGGCGTGGAGGGTGGACGCCTCAGGCGACCAGATGACATTCTTGGCAGCGTCTGTGCTCACGCGTCGATCTCTGCCTTTTCCTTTCACCCCCAGTCCTTCAGCCGAGGTCTTCCTTCAACCTTGCAACTATCAACTTTGTGCGACATTCCTTCTTTCAACAACTTAACAATCATCGACTTCTCCATCTCGTCTCAACGTCGCCTCTCACTGTAAAATGGCAGACATCACGATAACAGAGAGCGAGTTTAAACTCGCGGACGGAACCGTCCTCTACCAGAAGACCTGGTCGGTAAGGGCACACACCCTCAATCACATGTCAAACATCCCATTGTCACCGACATCCTAACCTCTCCACCAGCCCGCTGCCCCCAAGGCCAAGTTAGTACATTTTCATGGATTCAGCGACCACATCAACAGCTACAATAACTTCTTTCCCTTGCTAGCACGCCGTGGTATCTACTGCACAGGTATCGACGAGCGTGGCTGGGGCCGATCGGCCCCGAAAAAGTCCGACCGGGGAAACACAGGGCCTACCTCCTTGGTCCTGGCTGACATGGCCGCCGTCATCAAGGACCAGCAGGCCAACGTCTTCCCTGAGCTCCCTTTGTTTATCAACGGTCACTCCATGGGTGGTGGATTGGTGGCTACTCTTGCCTCGACCAAGGAGTATCAGCCGCTGGTGTCCTCACTTCGCGGAATTATGCTTTCGGCTCCGTTGATGGGTCTTACTCCCGATCAGACTCCTAGCTGGATCACGGTATTCGTGGGCCGGCTGGCAGGTAAGCTTCTTCCCCGCTTCCAACTCGTGGAGAAAATGCGGGTGGAGACGCTGGTGCGCGATCCGGCAGTGCAAAAGAGCCTTGCAGAGGACCCGTTGAACCATGCCACGGGAACACTCGAGATGTTCGCCAATATGCTGGACCGTATGATGGAGCTGGACCAGGGCAAGTTGACCCTTGTTGATGGAGTGCAGTCGGTCTTCCTCGCCCACGGAACTGGGGATAACTGCACTAGTTATGATGCGAGTAAGAGATGGTATGAGCGCGAGACGGCTCGTTTCCCTGAAACGGCGAAGATGCACAAGTCCTACGATGGATGGAGCCATGTTTTGCATGCCGATCTGCCGGAGACTTACCCGATCTATGCGGAGGATATGGCTACCTGGATCCTCGAGAAGTCTGAGGCTTAGACACACACCTCTTGGGCGAAGGAGCTCATGCCTTTATTCGCGGGGCGCTGCCAATTGGAAAGTCTGAAGTGTCGACTAGCATCGTTCGCACAATGATTGCTTCTGGCATTACCATTGGCCGAAATTAATCCCCTCGGCACCATATTATATATTATTTAGTACGTTTGGGTCGTGGTCTCTTCGGTTGAGCTTTTCTTTAATTCGGGGGTATGGTATATATCATGATATAATGTTTTGGGCGATGGATCAATAGTGCAGCTTATCATATCATGTCATCAGAAGTTTAGAACGAACAGCTGAAGCTGGCATGTCAAGAACTTTAAAGATCACCGAGCGGTGTGGGACCGTGTGACTGTGCCTGACTAGAAGACAAAGAGAGTGAAGATCCCTCTTTCACCATAGTTTCACAACACGAAGCCAGAGACAGACTAGCAGCAAGATCCCGTCAAAACCAAGGCAAAGGATGCCGGCTAGACTGAAAGGGGAAACGCAGACCCTTAAAACCGGGGCTAAGAGACTGCTTACTGCTTCTGGTCAAGCTTTGGCCCCCCAACGCGTCCCCTCAGCCTCGTTCCATTTTCTTTCTAATGAAGGCCGCAGAGTCTGGATTGTTTCCTGTCAACATTCTCAGAGTTGTATGATTTTCCATCAAAATGCCTATTCACAACCCGCTTCCCTCGTCTTTGCGAAGTACGTATCGATTTACTTTGATGTTGACCTGAATATTATGAGTCGTCCCAGCTCTGCGACAATCTACAAAGGCACCATTCAGTGCGTAACTCAAAACTAACAAAGTTTACTTGACAATCAGGCGAATGCGCAAAAGCAGCTCAGATCATCAACACTTTCACAGATCCCGATGGGTTCAATAGCCCGGGACGTACCATCCCACGAAAAATACTCGCGAGCGCCAAGGTATACACTTAAATATGTGTTCTCACTGCTACTCTCTTCACTCACAATCCAAAGGGCCTCGCCATCCTCACAGTCGCCAAAGCTGGGTTCCTAGGGTCAGTGCGCCTTGGCTCCGGTATCCTCGTTGCACGTCTACCCGACGGGTCCTGGTCCGCCCCATCAGCCATCGCGTCCGTGGGAGGTGGCTTCGGTGGACAAATCGGTGTCGAATTGACAGATTTCGTGTTCATACTGCAGAGCGACCATGCCGTGCAAACGTTTGCAAAGCTGGGAAGCCTAACTCTTGGTCTCAACGTCTCACTGGCAGTGGGACCAGTCGGACGCAGTGGGGAAATTGCGGGCGTCGTAAGCACCGGTGGTGTCATGGGAATATTCTCGTTCGCGCAAACCAAGGGCTTCTTTGGTGGCCTGAGTGCAGAGGGGGGCATTATTCTTGAAAACAGGCTCGCGAACCGGAAACTCTACGGGGATATTGTCAAGGCACGGGAACTGCTAAGCGGCGACATCCCTCCGCCTGTCGAGGCCAACAGGCTTATGCAGGCGTTGCAAGCCGATGTCTTCTCTGGCCATAGGCCAAACTTAGATTGTGAGCAGGCATCAAAGGAGCCACCTGCGGAGACGGTTGCCATGCCACCGCAGTCACCGTCATCCGAGGTGGCTGAACGAGTTGCTGTGATGTCGTCTGAGGCGCCTAGCGAAATTCATGAAGCACCGCCATCGAATATCTCTCCTGTCGAGTCACCGTCAGTAGCAGTGGCACCACAGAGGCCAGTTGAGCTGCCTGGTTCGGTCCAAGAGCTGGACTCCACGCCCGTACAACCCAGACCTGCGGATCAGCATAGCCCCGTTTCCGCTATCTCCACTACTCACAATCCTTGATACCTTTGACTAGCACCCGGGGTATGGACTCCGCAGAGGCTTTGTGGATAGTTTTGCCCATGCATGACAGCAGCAAGGCTAGGCTGTCTCTGCTGTCGGAAGCCATGTTACAAGGGCGCTTAATTGAGATCTTCGCAGACAGGGCCAGATTTTCGCGTCGACCACAGCTAATTAGCGACGACTTTGCACCAATTAATTTACAAATATGAGAAAGGGAACTGAATTCTTAGCAACTACAAATCCTAATACTTGAAAATATATTGTCTATTCTACCTTTACATATCACGGGTCCTTGGTATATGAATATGCGCGTGCTGAGTAAAAGTATGTGCTACAGATAGTGCTACAGGGTTGTAGATCTTGCCAATCTCGATTCGAGGCTTATACCAGGATGATACTCCGATAATATTTCCACCTTAAAATCTCGATAAATGTATGACAGCAAGAATTGCGAGGCTCAAGTCGAAATCCAGGAACACACCTTGGCTGGTTGGGGTAGTCCAATAGAATTGA